CAGGCCAAGGTCTGGTTATCCCAGCGTAAACCGTTTTACTCAGGATTGATAAATCCGGCTACGTCACTCAGGATCGACATATCCGGGTGTGTCACTCAGGATCGACACATTGGCGTGCGTCACTCAGGATCCATACATCCGAGAGCTTTACCCTCGAAATACAACCGAGCATGAGTGGTAGAACTTTCCAAAACATGCTGTACAACGTTGGATGTCATCCATTTGTGGTCCCTATCAACATGGTTGTGGTAGTCTTAACCGTTACTGACATTGTGTCACATGTTTGAGATGGTTTCCCAAAGACACCGTTTGGGTCATGTCTTGCGTTATCCGCTTCCCATATAGTCACACTTTTTATTGTATCATGCCAACCGTTTTTGGTTTGTTTGTTACAAATCTTTTTGTTTTTGAAGAAAATATATATTTAATGAACAAACATGTGAGAATATATAGCCTGAACCGTTCGGCTTTCAAATATTATAATACCATCTGCGATATTTCTTGTAGTTTCACAAATGTAAATGATTAAGTAAAGCAACCATTTACGGGCTGCAAAGAGGCTGGACGTAAGCATTATCGAAGATGATCCCCTCTGTGGCCAGTTTGTCGATGTTTGGGGTTATCATGTCAGGATTCCGGAAACCAAGGTCATTCCATCCTGCACAAACACAAAGGATTTGCCAAGTTAATCTCTGCATTGAAATAAGACACACTTAAAGTGACATAATATTTTAGTAGGTACTTCACATTAAATCACTTATTGTAATATTGCTGAATGTGGCGTTAAACAACAAGCAAAATCACATTTCCTTAATCTCACCTAAATCATCTGCCACAATAAATACGATATTAGGACGATGTGCCGATGACAACGATAAGAAAAACAGGAACAGAGCAAGGAGAAGCCGAACCTCCATCATGTTGGCTTACTCAACATGAATTAAACTGCCCCTTTTATCTGCCAATATAGACATCTAACTCTCCTAGACGAGTCTGATAAAGCATTTAACTAGGTCTCACTTTTGTTCTACATTGTTGAGATAATGGTGAAGGTCACATTTTTGGAAGCAAAGTACAGTTGTAGGTAAGTGTAATCACCCTTTATGAGATTTATGGAAAGGTGGATATTGTTGTGGAAGAATCTAAATGAAACAGTGTTGAACATTAACCATGTACGGCAGGGTTGTAACGGCTGCGATATGCAGTCAAGACTGAGACGTGAAGTCCTGACAGATGCTGACATTTTGTAAGTAAACATCTGCGTTCTGTCGAAAGAGTGAGTGAGTTAAGATTTTAAGTCACATCGGCAATATTACGGCCATATCGTGACGAAAACATGTTATAGATTTATAATGATTAAAAATATATTATCAACACCTGTCAACGAAGGGCAGTAAAGTATCTAGATTATCACAGATATATATTTAAACTAGTTATTAAATCTAAAACAATTTACTTATAGAGGACGATACAATATAAAAACAGGCTATAGATCGCCAACAACTGAAGGTAGATCACCATACTAGGGACCATGGGGGACTTACAGTACCTTTGCTACCTGCATTGACCTCTTTCGTAAGAGAAGAAAGTAGACGTGTATAAGATGGCCAATATATAATTCAGTATGTGATACCGGCCAGGTCTTCCATGGACATGGAAGTATTTGTGACCTACCATCATGCATCCTTTCAAACACGGTGGGCGAACCTAATCTATATTGTTGTAATGGGTCGTCAGCGTGAGTGTGTTTAGTTTTACGCCGCTTTTAGCAATATTCCAGCAATATCACGGCAGATGGACACCAGAAATGGGCTTCACATATTTTACCCATGTGGGAGAATTGAACCCGGGTTTTCGGCGTGATTAGCGAACGCTTTAAAGACTCGCGCATCCCGCCGCGTCGGTCGTCAGAAGAATGATAATGGCATACAAGATTTGATTACGAAACCACCCCAACACACCCGAAACGTTGCAATGGAACATGAAATCAATCCGCGTACGTGTGTAGGGAGTCATTCTGGATTTTGATACGTCAGTGAAAGAGCGTCAAATTTCTGTGAGACACTAGTTTATTTACATTATCCATAGTTGCACGTCAGCCCTCATTTCTTGTATTGACGCAGTAATTATGATAAATTTACGATATATGCTATCTTTGTTGAGGGCATGTTTCCGATTGGTATTGACTCTTTGAATGGAATGGTAGAGATATTGCCAATATGTTTCTACCATGTGTCTCAGGTTGTGATTTGCAAACCTTTAAATAGGTCTCTGCAGATACATAATGTTAAGAAAGTATCATGCACAGGGCACCCACTACAACAGCATATCCAGTAAATCAGAAAGTAGGCTTTAAGAAATCGAGCCCTGTTCAGGTCCCCGGAATCCACGTTCGAACAAATGATTACAAGTCGTCCATATACAGCTGATCTTCATGCTCGGAGATCACGTCTTATACCACCATTAAGACGCGAACATATTTTAGCCAGTCGCCAATGGTGGTCGACTGCGGGATATATCTGTGGTGTTTTTAGAGGAGTATTTAGTACAATGCAGTAAACATGTCCAAGCAAATTTTCTTCGATTCATTTTCAATTCTGGTATATCACTGCCTATAGTTACGTCGTACGACACCGTTATTTAAAGCAACAGTGGTTGCCGCAATCTTGAAGTTTGATAGCTCGTGTGTGTTCTGAAGACATATGTTGTTTGCCTTGTACAGATATATTTAGACACTGAGGTCGCACAAGTATCATTGTGAATAAAAAATGATGTGATCATAATGATATTTGGACGATTAGGACAATTTTCGAAAAGGTAAAAGAAAGAAAATGTACTTTATAAACTTTGTGGTTCCATCTAAATACTTTTAATTCCACCATATATATGGTATAGGTGCATTGGACTATGGCCTTCAACAAATGGGTTTGTCTCAAAAAAAGGTGGCCAGGCTTGCTGACATTCAACGTGTGACAATTGTTAAGATTGTAGCTATGCTCATGATTTTGATCACCGGATTGTCTAGACCAGACTCGATTATTTACAGACATACAGCTGGAATATTACTTAGTGCGGCGTTAGACAACAAACAACAAAACAAACAGTGAATCCCTCTAGACATAAGCAGTGAATGTTTCCACAAAGATTAAGTCATACTCGTAGATATATGCTGGGATTTATACAGCTGCAAGGCATGTCTGACAAAAGTACATGTGTTGCTGCGGGAGCTTTATCTTTGTGTCGGTGAAGCTAAGTTAACGCTGATATGCTGTAACACATGTTTGTCGTAACAGGTGAATAACGGTATCGAGTTGACAAGTTTTCTGACCTGCTTCACGCATGTCACTGGTTGCGAAGTTCTATGCTCGCGATGTCAGCCACTGGATTGTCTAGTTTAGACTCTCGCGAGATTATATTTACAAGAGGGATATCTTTTTAAAAACAGCATTGAACAAGCAGCCAACAAAGAAACAAATCTAAGAGCGGGTGAAAGATTAACGTAATATCGGCCATGTTTCAGCTATATGGTAACGAGAAATTGAATAACAATACTGCAAAGATTTGATAAGGAAAGATGCTATCAATTGAAGTAGAAAAATTAGATCAATCAAGACAGGTATACGTTAAACTTACCTGATAACATTTAGCAATGGCCCTTGCTGCATTTACACCATATCTTCATATGCTAGCGATCGTCGACAAATTTAGCAATGCTTTAAACGACATATATTCTGCGGTTAAAAGCGTGGTAGAAATAAAACATTAAACATTAGCAAGACCATGAAATAATTCAATGAGAAAGATGTATGTTTGACATTATTTCGGTAGCCTGGAGGTACGAGAGATGATCTGAAATAATGATGAATGTGTATATTTAGAATGGTTATTTAAATAGTTTAAATGGAGATGTGATTTGATAATCTTGAAGATATAGCCGGCATCCAATGACAGTGGCACTAGCAACTTTGTCACCCTCCTTGGATCCATCTGTGAAGATCGCTTTGTGAGTTTCATAAGTGTTTCCTAATTCGTTATTTTGTTGTTAGTGAATAAGCTGATTTGTTTCAGATTTCTTTAGCTTGATAATAACTAGGATAGCCCTAGCTTTACTAAGTGCCATGGTAGAGAAGTGAAAAGCTGGGTTAGGGCTATGTTGTCGAAGGTTCGAAGGTTTTATTTTTCTCAACTTCCACATATACACATACATATACACCAAGATGACATTGGAGAGATATAATTGAGGCAGGATAATGTACAATACAATATACATACATATTTATATATACAAGGATGCCATTAGAAATCTGGTTTAGCGTCAGAAATAGTAGATTGTATCTTTTTCCAAGTGGTGGAAATAGGTGATGATCGTTTTTACAAAGTTCTATATCGAGATGCTGGATTGGATTTCGTAAAAGTAAATTAGAAATATGCTGTACTTTTAAGGACGGCTAATAGTCTCAGCATACACAATAAGATTTGGTGATTTTCTGAATGTTCAAATGCGAAGTTGTAGGCCTTTGTGATAAACAGAATCCAATAATTAATATTTTTACAAGCCTCAGAATACATTTTGCAACCGTAATCAAGGTTAAAACGGACCAGGGCCCTGTACAGCTGGAGGAGGGTTTGCTCCATCCCTCCCGACTTAGAGTTTGAAGCAACTTTAGATATATCCAGTGCCTTCTGGCATATATTTGTAAACTATTTTATATGGGCCCGAAAAGTTAAATGGTGAAACAAAATACTACCCAGGAACTTCCTTTTCAACTTTGATCGGGTGCCATCTAACATTAGTTCTGGGTCTTTATGAGTTTCAGATTCTCTGCAAAAATGAATGCAATTGGTTTTGGTTTTTGAGAACTCAAATCCATTATCTGAGCACCATTTACGAATATTATTCAGACATTCTTGCAGTCGTCGTTCGATGATATTTGTAATAGGCACCTAGCATCAAAGAAAATAACAAAGTACAAAGTGAATGAGCCGAATGCGATTATATAGTATGACCAGAAATTATTGAGAATTTTAGGAATATGTTTAATTGGATTTCTAGTATAAACAACCTTGACCAACTATCAAGAGCTTGGTTTGATTCAAGAGAGACACATCCGTTAATCCCTCAGTTTGTGAAGAGTTATCCCCCTTTGTTTACTTGCTAGCAGACGACATTTTCAGTGATTCTCAGTATGGATGGCTTAGAGAAGAGGAAGTTGATTTTAGAGTATTATAACAAGGACATCAGATCAGGTAAAGTGATTTCAAGTAGAACAGGCATCCCTTTGTCCACTGTTTATCGTGTTTTGAAAAATATTGCAAATGGATATAGCATTGAGCACCAGGGAGGCGCAGGTAGGACAAGAAAATTGACTGTCGGTGACAGGAGGCGACTTGGTATTCTTGTTTCTAAAAACAAACGAAGGAGTTTAGAAAACTTAAGGCTCGATATGATTGATAGAGGAACTTTGGCTGTCTGTAAGGAGACAATTAGAACTGAGCTGCATGCAATGGGTTGGCAGAAAAGTCGAGGAATTCCATCACCGATCATGAAACCTGAACAAAAGGAGCGAAGGTTGAACTGGTGCTTACAGCATAGAAAGTTAAACTGGGACAATGTGATTTTCTCAGATGAAAGTTCTGTGTGGCTGTTTCCTAATACACTGAAATTCTGGACCAAACAAACTGAAAAGCCTTTGTATCAGCGCCCAAAGTACAGTCCGAAATTTAACGTGTGTGGTGGCATATCTGTGTTAGGGGAAACGCAGGGAATATGAACAGTGAGCGGTACACAGATATTCTCGAGGGACATTTCCTTCCATCTACTCGTGTGTTCTATGGACATTTTTGGATTTTCCAGCAGGACAACGACCCAAAACATCGTTCAAAGCATTCACATGCCTGGTTTCGGACCCAAAATATGACATTATTAGATTGGCAAAGCTATAGCCCTGACCTAAATCCAATAGAAAATGTTTGGGGACTTTTGAAGGAAAGTGTCAATAAGAAAAATCTGACAAATATTGCTGAAATGAAAGAAGAGGTGGTCCGATATTGGGACAGCATGGACCACGACTTTCTAACTTCTTTGATCAGTAGTGTGCCCCGCCGCATTGAAGCCTGCATTGCTGCCCATGGTGACTTAACAAAATAGTAACTGTTCACCTGTCTTTGAATCTGGAGTTATGTTCTGCTAACATTAACATTTAATACGTGCGTAATGAGTGAAAAAAAATAAAAAATTACAATCATTAAATTCTCAATAATTTCTGGTTGTACTGTATCAGTCGCTCAAAAGGAACTCCTCCATCGCCTTGCGGTCCTGTTCCTCGTGGTCTTCACGGCTCAGGTGCGTCTTCCAGTGTTTGTGGATGTGCGAATGTAACATGTTTTCTCATGTCAAAGCTTTGCAGACCAGTTAAGAACCGATCAATCAAATGTACCTCTAGTGATGAAGAAATGTTGGTAGGGTAACCTAAATGTGCTAATCTACGAAGTTCATACACATAATCCACATAATCTCAAAATGGCTGCCGCCTAGCCGAGCATGCAAGAAGCGTGACATCTATGTTGATTATAAAATTAGTTTATTAACAAAGAGTGAATAGATACATACTGAACCCATTCTTCGTCCATACACTACTGGCCTGCTGATGGACGACTGTGACATGTTTATTCACTTGTATCTACTTGTCAACACATGCTTTCTCTGTTCACAGATTAGCATATGGTTATCACCATGTCATGTCATTGATAAAGGAGGTAAGTTACACTCATTAGTTTCATATATGTTCATGATGTAATTGATGCTGTTGTTCCTCTCGTCCTGGAGACAACAGGTTATCTGTAACATCTGCAAATGCAGCTCCATCGCACTTGCTGTCACTGTACACGTTCAATTCTGTTGGAATATCATGCAGAGATTTTCGAGTATTTTCCTTTGAAGTTGAAAGAAACCCTAATGCAGAGGCCAAGAACATCATTGCACCTGGAAATCAACGTAACCGTCAATTCAGCATCATGTCGCACTGTTTGTATTTAAGATGGAAACCATTAAGATTTCTATTACTCTTATATCGAATTATTATTTAATGTTTTTCAGGAAACGCCAATTCAAGGCCAACATCTGATGTATGTCTACTTATGTTCTTGTGTCCTCTAAAGACTGTCCTGAAGGAGGCGATTTCAGCTAAAGGAGTCGGGAATAGTAAGGTTTCACTTTACCAAGGTTTCTGATATATATCGGGATTGAACTGGCTTTGTGGCTTTGTCTAATTCTTTAATACTTTCAAACATGCATTTTTCTATGTGAAAAGATTGCGAATACAGAGGTTTATTTCTTATTTCACAGCACATGGATTTATCTGACAGACGTTTGCCTAACGAGTGATTGGCGTTTCTATTCCGCGTTAATAATATGACGTTATGTGTGTGGAAATGTGTCAGGTGCCAATGAAATAGTGTGTTATGGTTGGTGCAGACAAACCTAGAAATGTAACCAGGGCGAATCTAGGATTTGAAAGTAAGATTGTAGGTTTCTGTCAGGCCAAAGGACCACAGCGAAAGTCAGTCGTTAACGCTATGTATTGTGATTGGTGTTTGTACATGATTCGTCATAGTGAACTGCCATTGATCAACCTGGATCCACAAGAGAGGATGGGGAATGATGTACTGTACTGTACTTCAATAAGGAACAATATATACGAATAATTCACAGAAGATGAATGAATCTCCCACCCTTCTACCTAGCACATTGAATAAGTGAACTCATATAGCCAATAGTTAAGTTTCCCTTAGGAAACAATATTTTCCACATATAAACAAAACTATTGATTTTATCAGGTTTGTTGACTTACATATAAAACAACGGCTACCTGTCATAATAGGTATTTCAATATGTCCATTCATCCGTCTTCGTCCTCTACAAATATGTTAACTTTCATATTTGCATAGTTTTTGTTTTATTGACATTGTGGTTTTCGCCGTTTTAACATGGCATAATATGAACAAAAAGATGTATAAGAAACAAAACGGGCGTAAATATACTACAGCTCGATACGTACCGGAGAACAAGAAGACGTTGTAGTAATCACCACTCGCTTCCAAAATTGCACCTGTAACAAAATATACAACTAACTGTGCCGCCATGATGGAAATATTTAACCAATAATGCCTGTCAGTGAGTGAGTTGGTTTTTAGCAATATTTCAGCAATGTCTCGGCGTGGGACACCAGAAATGGGCTTCACACATTATACTCACGTGGGGAATCGAACACGGGTCTTCGTGACTGACGCACGCTTTAGCCACTAGGCTAGTCAGTGAAGTATATAAAATAATATCTGCCTGTTTAAATTGGGTTAGTGTATACCTTTTTAATATTAAAATACCATTACTAAGCAGCTGTCAAACAATTTCAAGGCTCTTAACCCGAATATCCTAAAACTTTCCAACACGTATCATGATCCGCGCTCAGTTCATTAAAGTAGGTCACAGTGGATTTCAAACATGCCAAATGAAAATACAGCTTTTAAAAGTAAACATGTGGCCCTATTTACCTGAAAAGAAAACCCCATGCTGATGAGCACTTATTTACCTTGATGTATAATCTGCTAATGTTCTGCCCATTGTTTTCAACATGTAATAAATTATGTCTGTTTTTATGTCTCGTTGACACCTAGTTTGCTTCAGCTTCAATAAATATCATACAAACACGTACAAGTGTGTTACTAGTTACACTCATGGCAGGCGTTGTTACGCACATGACGTAACCATGGTAATTCCATTACCTTTATGAGACCTTGACATTTAATTGGCATTGAGTTTTCACTGACTATTTGCAAAACCTTTTATGTTCTACTAATTAATCCGAAAGTTCATCAAATTTGAACTACATAGAATTATTTGACCTTTAGTGACCTTGACCTTGAAAGGAGCGACCTATTTCAACCACAAGGCTAACCCACCGCCCCTATCTATTATGTATCTTATAGTCAATGGATGAATACATCGGTTTGATACTTTATAAGGTGGTATAGTGGTAGATAGCCATTGTTCGCCCATGGGCGAACGAGTTTAAATTTTGAGTTTTCGAAAAGTATATTTTCATTTTTCCATCCTTAGCATATATTCATGACAGTTGCACGTTTAATTGTGTCAGTTCCCTTGTAAGAAAGTGGCCACAGTGCGGAGTTTCTGGACTTTTGTGAATCCAGAATTTAATTGTGACGTGTTTACTTTAATTTTTAAGTCGTTCACTCACTTAGATTGTTTTGGGAAAACCTGCCACATGCAAAAGTGTGTAATACCCTAGACTCCCGGGAAATGATACATACATGAAATGGTACTGATCTTTGCCAAGGAGACAGCAGTGGCGCGCAAGATCAGGACTATGTGGATATATGAATGTTTGTTAAATCACCAATAGGACATTTACAGGTTATCTGATTGATGGAAATAACATGGCTACATCTTGTGGTGTCATCACTGAATCCATTGATCAATTGTTGTTACAAACAAGTTGGCCGAGTCAAGGAAACGTAAATCAATGGCCCCGAAGCAATCGCATTTAGCATAAGTATATCCCTTAGCAAGCACGGACGTTGACTTATTTGTTTATACACAAGTTAAGGTCACTCTGTCTGTTTGGAGTAAACGGTACGTTGACATGAACATGATAACATAAAGACGAAGTCTGATTGCTAAGCTCATATACCAAAAATAGTTAATATCATCAACAGAATTGAGTGTATAACATTGCATTGGTCAGTTCTTTGAGATTCTAGTGAATTTAACCCACATTCGTGTGAGACGGGCTCTGTAGTCATCTCGCTTTACCAACATGGTGTCATATGTGAATGAGAAAACTATCAGACTATGAGAGGTTGTTATGAAATAATCAGTGAAATTAATTCTTTTAATATTTCATTCATCAGACTGTGATACGACCCCTATAATCCTCAATCGTTTTACCAACGAACAAGAGTGTTGTGTTTGCCTACTTAACACAATAAATGCTCTGTCTGAAAAGAGGTGAGGTGAGGTGAAATTGGGTTTAACGTCGTACTTGAGAATATTTCGCTCATATGACGACTGTCTGAAAAGAAGGGGAGGTCAAGAAAAAAGATAGGGGAAAGTTTGTTTAGTTGTTTGCTGTCTAACACCACACTCAGCTATATTCTAGCTATATATATGGTGGCGGTCTGTAAATAATCCAGTGTGGACCAGACAATCCTGTGATCCACAGCATGAGCATCGATCTACGCATGTGTCAACCAAGTCAGCAAGCCTGACCACCCGCTCTCGTTAGTTGCCTGTTACGACAAGCGTGGGTTGCTGAAGACCAATTCTAACCCGGATCTTCACGAGTTGGGGGAAGGTAGGGGATCCGCTTTGCATGTAGTCATGTAGGGGAACGTACCTGCAATCGGAGGTCCAATCAAGTAGCCGGTTCCACAGAAGAACATAACCACACCTACACCAGTGGCAAAGTTTTGAAGTCCCAGAATGTCAAGTGTTAGTGTATTCATAAGTACCCAAATACCTCCTGTGTATAATCCGAGGAAAAAGCCAAAGAGAATTTGCAGATACGAAGAAGATTGGAATAATGGCACAAAAAGTGTGAATAACGCCATGATGCTGGCGGTAGATGTATGCAATATTGCACCGCCAATCTTCTGGTCACCCGAAGCAATTCCCGTGAGAATACGAGAGATAACGCTCCCTATGCCGGACATTGAGATCACGAGGGAAGCGTCCTGGAACGTCGCTCCTTGTTTTATGAAATAGTCTGGCAGAAAAAGATATTCTGCTGATGAGCCAAGAGCAAAACAAAAAATACTGAAAGAAAAAAATAGGAATGATATATTCTTGACGACTTTCCCAATCCTGGAACAATCCCCACACAGTAAGAGTATTATTTTTCTCCCGAGTGGTCCACCTCCAGAAACATCTCTTTTTCTCTTTTTCTCAATCACAGAGGGCCGCATCAGCATACCAGTTGCACAGGTATGAAATGTTATTCCTCCAGTTATAAGAAAGGCCCCATGGAATCCGTAGGTATCTAATAGATACTGAACTAAGACTGGGTGTACAAACATGCCTAGTCCTGCCCCAGTGACGCATATCCCTTGAGCAACAGCTGGGTTGTTAGGAAAGTAGTATCCAAGAACAACGATTGCCCCGGCCCCTGACAGACACGTGCCTAAACCTGGAAAACAAAACATGAACAATTACAGCGGGTCGGTTTCTGTTGTGTCTTCACACTCGTCATGACAAAGGTACTTCACCATTAATGACAACATGACTAAGAGGTAACTGTTTAAGCCTGTACAATAACACAGGAATGGTAATATGGAATATTTTTTTTTAGTTCAAATTTCGAAGTGTCCCAGCCTCTCAATCCCTACATGAAGAAAAAGGATTTTTGGGCCTGACAAGCTAGTGGTAATTATTCTCTTTAATGAAGACAAACGTTTCCATAACACACATTGTAGTCACACAGTTTGTTATCAAAGGACCCGTGAAGATCCGGGTTAGAATTGATCTTCAGCAACCCATGCTTGTCGTAGGAGGCGACTAACGGGATCGGATGGTCAGGCTCACTGACTTGGTTAACAATTGTGTAGATCGATGCTCATGTTTTTGATCACTGGATTGTCTGGCCCAGACTCGATTATTTGCAGACCGCCGCCATATAGCTGCAATATTGCTGAGAGCGGCAAAAAACAACAAATAGAACAGACCAAAGGCTCTTAGCTTGACCTGATCCATTTCGTTGCTTCTGACATCAACAACCCTCATTGGTTGTTTTCGTCCTATCGTAACCAGTAATCGAACGAAGGCTCTTTTGTGAGTGTTACATGTGAGAGGGTTTGGCGTCTTTGAGTGCTGGCGATTAGGTGCCTGACTCGAATATGTTACATTTGTTACATTTCACCACTTTCTGAATGGCATTGTGTTCTCAATATTCTTGCTATTTTAGGGGTTACACAATGCTGGACAACCCAATAGTGTGGGCACTTACCTGCCACAACAGCATATGTCATGAACAACAGTCGTATATCTGTCACCAGACAGCTGCACGCAAATCCAACCAGCATTACGATTCCCGACATCACCACGCATGTTCTGCAGCTAAACACGCTGATTACAAAGCTAGCCACGGGTCCTGAAGTAGATTTATGCATGAACAACCCGTAGCCTTTTCTTTGAGAAATATCCAAAATTCCGAAAACGCGATCGTGTATTTAATTAATGGTAAAACACATTATAATTGTTAATCAGAAATATATATTAAGAAGCTTCACACAAATTCAACTAAGAACGCAATACAAGTATATTTGTATTTCTCCGAATTGGTAATATAACCTGGCACAATCAAAATGATAGATCATCCCCGACCTTTTGTGACCAAAACTTCCATGTCTTCTTTAAGACACTAAATTTATTCAAATTCATAGAAAGCATACATCTCAAAATCAATGATATTGTGAAACGTAACGATACATAATTGCACAAAAATAAGGAGCTCAAAACGGCGGCAGTGTATAAAGACGAATACTATCAGAACTGGACCCGTGAAGATTCGGGTTCGAATTGGTTTTCAGCAACCCATGCTTGTTGTAAGAGTCGACTAACGTGATCGGGTAGTCATCGTATCCCAATTGCCTAGATCGATGCTCATGCTGTTGATCACTGGATTTTCTGGCCCAGGCACGATTATTTACAGACCGCCGGCATATAGCTGGACTATTGCTGAGTACGGCGTTAAACAACAAACCAACCAAACCAACTATCAGGGCTATTTGAAATTATCATTGTTCTTTCACGTATCTGCCAGCTGGCCTCCATGTAGGTAGCAAAAGTACTACCCCATGGTCCTTAGTATGGTTATTTACCTTCAGTAGTTGGCGATCTATAGCCCGTAATTTATTTTGTATTACCCCAAATAGTTACATAATGCTAGTTTTAATACCTCAAATTGTGATATTCTAGTTGTTTTTTTGTCCTTCGTTGACAGAGATTATACTCTAATGTTATCTATTGTTAATGTATAACCTGTTTTAGTTACAACATGGCTTAAATATTGCCGATGTGACTACACTCACTCACTCACTCACACACATACACACATACATATATACACGCACGCACGCACGCACGCACGCACGCACGCACGCACACACACACACACACACACACACACATACATACATACATACATACATACATACATACATACATACATACATACATACATACATACATACATACATACATACATACATACATACATTCATACATACACACATACACACATACATACATACCTGCCAGGGCAAACATGCAGCCGAAGATGGATCCAACCCAGGTTGTGAGAACCAGGTCCTCGTCATACTCTTTCAACAGGGCCACGTGAAGCACACCGGTAGCATAGTTGACGCTGGTGCCAAACATCATCGTCATGAAGGAAGCAGCCAACACGACCCATGAGTACATCCCCGTTCGTTCCATGCTGCAGATATATGTTGAAACAATACAGGGTGACAAGGTACACATATTGTTATTACACTGGGCGATGGGGAAGCCTATTGGTTAAAGCCAAAGATTCGGTTTCGATTCCTTACATGGGTATGTCAACGCATATATGTGTCGACAGGCTCAGAAGTATACGTTGACGAAGACGAACGAATTCGTTGAGTCCAAACTTTTTTAGTCGGTTATACAATTAACAGATTACATTAAGAAATAAGTCGAGCAGTGATTATAACTTTGCTATGACGGGAAAAGTCCAGCAAGCAGGTTTTATCCCACTCACGGCCGTGCATCCAGTCGGAATACCATACTACCTGACAGTACAGATGTGAATATGCATATATATTACAAAACAACAATGGTCAGATGTCATGGCAGACACGGTCAAGGGGATCACCTTAAGGTTTTTAGTGTCATAATAAAGCTTGTGGCACAATGTGGAGTATTCTAAACTACTCTAACGAGATGAACGGGGGTGAAACTGCTGTAATAGTGCTAAAACTGGCGTAAAACCTCACTCACTCACTCACTCACTCAAATGGTTATTCTTTTTACATAACTCTAGGGTCGAAATAAAAATGTCATATCCGAAATACTTCAACTTCTCAGTGAAGTTACTCAAACTGTGTTAAGAGGAAGTTGCTCGCATTTAACACATCGGTGACTGACTGACAGAGTTTAGTTTTACGCCGCTTTTAGCAATATTCCAGCAACATCACGGCGGGGGACACCAGTAATGGGCTTCACACATTGTACCCATGTGGGGATTCGAACCCGGGTCTTCGGTGTGAACACATCGGTGAAACTTATGAGTGAGGATACATCGCTGACTGACAAGTGTTCACATCAAAACAGTGAATAGAATCAGCAAATAATGGCAATAATACTCTGACAGACCAATGAAAATGGTAGTGTCGAATCTAGGAATCGAACCCATGACCAGCATTCGTTGACATAGTATTGACGATCCTTCTGTGCACAGTTACCTGTCCTTTGTTATGTAACTGATTAACTGTCTGGTGAATCACACACGGACAGCTGGCGTTATCAGATTGACATATTGTCCAGCAAGGAACTGGGTTACCTGGTTTTGAAAGCATGCTAATACATGATATATCTCGAAATACCTAACTGCACGGAGCTTGGTTCAAGGTGTGTTAACTCTACGGAATGTATATCAAATGTTACTCCATGACACAATTCCCTTATCCGTACAAAGTCAAACGTTTGTTTGTAGTTCGTCCTAATTAGATATAACTTAATGTATAAATGACAGACGGTCATGGCGGTATTGATCTGCCAGTTGTTCAAGCAATAACCATACGGCTCATACATGGCGGCAATTGTCCCTACAATGGATATTCACATTTTGTTGTATGTAGAAATGTATGAGAAATATGAATGACTGAGGACAGATATGGCCTTACTTACCTTTCACAGTACAGCGAGAACGCTATCTACCTACCGACACTATCATTTGACATGGATTACACATTTTGTAAATAGAACAAGGCGCTTCACACAACAATGGTGGTGAGATTGGTTTGACTGATGTTGAACATGCAACTATAACTACCAGCGTGACTAATTGTAAATCTAATGAATGATTATAACTATAACGATAAAGGTTATTGTCACAAATAATTGGTTGAATTTTGTACTGTGTACAGCCAATCATTGCAACTTTTATTGTGAAGCATATGAATAAAATGAATATCTGGTTGGTATCTGGTTTGCTGCAGAAGTGACTGAGTTGGGTTTTAAAAAGCGGCGTAAAACCTCACTAAACACTTACTCTAAAACCGACATCAGTTCTGGCATTAGCACATTTCGATAATGTCTGCATAATAACAAAGTTTTGTGTTGTGGTGGATGCACTCTAATTTTGTGGTGTGTGTAGTACACTATAGTCTTGTAGTGTGTGCGACACACCATAATTTTGTAGTGTGTGTGATGCACTACAGTTTTGTAGTGTAGTGGATGCACTATAATTTTGTAGTGTGTGTGATACACTATAATTTTGTAGTGTGTGTGATGCACTTTAATTTTGTAGTGTGTGTGACGCACCATAATTTTGTAGTGTGTGTGATACACCATAATTTTGTAGTGTGTGTGTGTGTGTGATACACCATAATTTTGTAGTGTGTGATGCACTAAAATGTTGTAGTGTGTGTGGTGCACTATAATTTTGGAGTGTGTGTGGTACACTATAATTTGGTAGTGTGTGTGATGCACTATAATTTTGAGTGTGTGTAAATGCAGGCCTATTATTGAAGTCACATGTGTCGGGTGATTTACATGACTGTTTTACATTCTAATATGATTTCCAAATTAATGGGACCATAAAATATACGAACGTCTCTGATTATCTATGGGATTTCTCGCTACTGATTTGCCACACATTGAAGCACCTAACACCACATTGGAACTATATCCAAATATGTATGCCTTTATTAGCATGGACATTTTAATTATAACCAGTCAACCAATTGTACAATCTGCCTTGCTCAAATATATTATGAACCAATTGTAAGTAAACTTATTGTCATCAACAACGTCCTACAATTACTCAAAATTATAACACCAAAGCATAAAATCGGCTTAATGAATACTGCCTTAAACTTTCAACAATTCAACATATTTTTGTAATTTATTCCTTCTATATATAAACATGTGTAACTAAGCTATAATTCACAAATTCAAACAGTCAGTTATGATCTTTAACCACCTAGCCAGGTTGGAGTAAGACAACAAGTGAACAAAATTCGCACTTTCCTTATGCACCAAATTTCAACACACAATCAAAATGTTGCAGATCTTCAAGCAATGACCTCATTTAGATTCAGTTACTTTGCACAAGAACTACTTTTGACCCATGACCCAGTCTTTGCTATAAATACATGGACTTGTGAAGATATTAACTCTTGCACTGACAGCTGTATTAATGTTGGCGGTGTTGCGAATCAATCACAAACAAGCAGTTGAGACAAAACATGTCTAAATAGTGGATTTTCCAGATTTATGTGCAGTTTCTATAATAATATTTATCAGCAGGAAGGCGACGTTTTGGTTTAGCAATTCACACGAAGACACGAATTCTAGGTTTTTCGACAACAACAAATCTGGAACATCTCTGTGTTTGTGACACTATCTAAGGCAATGGAACTTTTTGCGTAGTTCCACCGATCTTCCACCTGCTGCACACCCAACATGATAAGGTCAACGGAAATATTATGCAACTGGTGTTCTTACTTCCTCCAGACAAGAAACACACTACCTATGAACGAGCTTTTTCATTTGTGAAGGATGTAGGCAGCGACTGGGGGTTTCCATCTAAATCCAGAATACGTCCTGGTAACCAATACATGTACATCATTAAAAATGTAATATTATTTATCAAATATCTTATCTTGTCTTATCTTATCTTATCTTATTACAGATGGAATTGGCGGCGAATAATGCGGAATGGAAGAATGGAAAGGATGTTTTTATTTTCCATTTCACCCAGTGCATCTGGAGACGGACGCAAAACCTGGGACTGCAGGATGACTACGGTAACATCCCCGAAGCAGTTCGTCATGCACTGTGCTGTATTGCCTTTTGGTGCCATTAGCAGATGTAAGTATTCACCATGTTTCTATCTAAATACATAACAAAAATTGTAGAAACAATTTTTAAATATTTATTAATACATACTAAGTGTGTATACAGTATTGTCATGTATCAAACTTAATTCATATAATTTCTGTGACAGGTGGAAGACGTGTGACTACAAGCACTTGCCGATATGCCCCAAGATCAACGATGCAATATTCTGGCAGACTGTGTCACCTCAACCTGGGTAGAGGGCAATCTTCCGATGAGAACTTGGAACCACTACGCCACAACGGGTTCAAGAACGAACAACAACCTTGAGGGTTGTCATGGGCGCTTGAAGAAGTTGGTAGGCAATCCCCATCCAAACTTTTATGAATTCATTCGACTCAGATTGAGTGAGCAGAAATGTATAGAAATCAACTTGGTTCAATATGCCGCCGGTCAGTGTCTCCCACCCAAGAAGAAGAAGTACAGAGATGTGCAAAGGAAGCCTGAGGATCTCAAATGGAAGTTGGATTCCAAGCAGATGTTGTATATCAATATGCCGACAGTGCATCACATGCTCTTAAATTAGCATGAAATTGAATCTGTAAATTAATAAAGTTGACATATATATTGTTAGATGATATATTGCAATAAAATGATAAGGTGGATTATTGTACATCCTGCAATAACGATAAAAAGTGACAGGGTGATAAACTGTTATTTTGTACATATGTATGAATAAAATGAACATGAACATCTTGTGATTGTCGCCTTCCTCTGAGATCAGTGTTCTTGTATAAACACCTGAACCCATTGTTACAAATTTCCACCATTTTCGCAGACAGACAGACGGACAGATAATAAATTTAAGTGAGTGAGAGAGGTTAGTTTAACGCCGCACTCAGCAATATACCAGAGCTTGGACCAGGCATTCCAGTGATCAACAGCATGAGCATCGATCCTCCTCAATTGGGACACAACGACATGTGTCAACCAAGTCAGCGAGTCTGACCACCCTATCGCGTTAGTTGCCTCTAACGACAAACATAGATTACTGAAGACCGATTCTAACCCGGATCTTCGCGGGTTCTCTCCTCACAAGTACATGATAACAATACAACATACAAATACAATAAAAAGTGAGCCACCCATTAAGGGTTATGAGAGACTATTAACTAAACTATATACAATATACTAAAAACTGTCAACTAAACACATATATAAAAATTATTACTAAACACCTAAGAAGATCAAAATATACTATTAAAATATCATGACATATACATATACTTACACAATATAAAAAGTACCATTACCGATTACCATATAAAACGTGTTTCCGCTTTTGCAATAAAAGCTTGCAGGTTTTGGCAGTATAAAATAGAACATCCGGATTGGCTAAGATGAAACTAACCTTCTGTATATCTGTAGAATCATTGAAAGTATACTATTAGTAATAATCCTATAACTTGCTTAAAAGAGTAACACGAATATCATTATAAAGGGGACAGTGTAGTAAGACATGGACTTCATCCTCAACTCCATCCTTACAATAAACACACGTTCTCTCACCAATAGGTGCATTAGTGTATTTATACGAAGGCGAAAACGAAAAACGGCCCATGTTTCTACACGCAACAAGTCGCCTTCCTGCGAATAAATATCTGTACTTGCTATATACAAACAAGGGATTACTAAACATACACAGTGTAAACATGTCTCAATCAGCTTACATTAGGTTTTTTAAGTCACCAACCCATGAAATCATAAAGTATCTAGCTTATACCATATATGTATAAGACAAACTGTACAGATGCTTGTAACACAAGACGCACTTTACAATTAAATGGACGTCAGAGTATAGAAGTATTGTATCTTTCAAATCTGATAAATTCATATGGCTATGAACATCAGCAAAACGATGTTTTAAAGTATAAACATTAAGATATATTTGAGAAAAGACATGAAAGGATCTCACTGGCTTCCTTTATCTCAAGTACAGTTGGATAATTCAGGAAGGGAATTAGCTGTTCGATACGAAACGCAATCATTGGTTTCATACGATGGTCAAATTCTAACATTAACATATGCCTCTTCTTATCAGATTCAGACAAGTCCATGTCCTGACATAGGTTGTAGGGTTACGTCTGTTCCAGTAGGACCAGACCAGTATCCATTGGGCTCCAAAGATCTTTTAATTTTCTGAAATATATCACAGTCAGCTGTTAATCAAGGCGTCATTATGGAATTAACATTTCTTTTCAGCTACATGCTACATTTACACAGTTCCATTGGCGAATTATTGCGATGTTAATGGATCTTTAATGAAGCGATTATATACTGTGACCTGTAAAATACACACAAGCTTAACATATCAACATATTACACATAAAATTAAATAGTGTGATGACACTTAAAGCAAACCTCTTTCAGTGTAGTTTCATTTCTTTTGAGAACCGTCCACAGCCAAATGATAGGAATCGGCAGTATTGAGGCCAGTGATATCATCCACCCAACACCTGCAGCCCAGGGAGGGTATATGTAGTCCTCATATTTCGGAGGCCGGTAGGAGTACAAGGAGTAGGAGAATGTGACCTGATACAATAAAAGGAATACATTGCATTGGATTACTTTGACGAACAGTATCTGCAAAAAGCTAAATTACAATTGATTCTTGTCTATATGTAGAAAAGAATGAATATCGAGGTTAAAAGTAGTTTGTGTAAAGTGTCTAAATTTGGTACGTCCATCTAGGTTTACAGTCGAACATTTGATGCACTCAGTGAGTTTAGTTTTATGCCGCTTTTATCAATGCTTCAGCAACATCACGGCGGGGGACACCAAAACATTGGCTTCACACATTGTACTCATGTGGGGATTCGAAACCTGGTCTTCGACGAAACAAGCCAACGCGTTAACCACTAGATTACCCCACCGCCCCTTTTATTTCTTAATTGTCTTTTTCTGAAGGTAGACTGTCATACAACATGGAGACTTGAAGTACTTGTGCTGCCTGCATGGACCTTAGCTGCATTTACACCATACCATCATATGTCGGCAACGATTTTTAAAGGAACACACATTCTCCGATTAAGAACGTGGTAGCAATTAACATACTTTGAATGAAACTCTCTAATTTTGCACTATTTCTGGGGCATACTGTCACCATATGCTTTTAGTTTTTTATTATTTCAAGGGAGTAGACGCTATGAAACCCACATTTCTACCGTTTTCCATGTGACATTATAATCGGATGTATGCATACAAATTTAAACTGTTTGCAATCTCTGCAACCAGATATACGGATGATTTCGATTTTCCAGTCGTTAATTCCATCTTCCTATCGGGCACGCTCCAGTTCACAGGGACTACATTTTCCAATTGGTTAGACATCTTAAAACATCACAGTTTATTCAAATATCACGGAAAGGAACAGCAACTAAATCATCAAATTTCAACATCAAACACCTGGTTAGGTTATTCCTGGTATTTTGAGGATGGACGAATTTCCAAATATGATATGGTGCTTGTCAACATGATGCCTGATGATATCTCACCCTTTCACCTCAAATGGAATATTCACGCCTACATACTAGTATTACAGTTTTAATGCACAAGTGGAACTGGCGGGTGCTACCGTTGGGGCTGTACAAACTTATCATTTTCAATGATGAATACATACATACATACATACATACATACATACACACACACACACACACACACACACACACACACACACACACACACACACACACACACACACACACACACACATACATACATACATAATTAATATTTATTACAATGCCAACCTTGCCTTTCGCACCCACTGAAATATTTCGGCAGATATGAGTGAACTGTGTATTTCTTAGGTGTGCACCCATTGAACATAATTCATCATTTAAATAATATCCAAAACCGTCTCCTGTATTATTGGTGCTCTAAACATTCAAACATCTTCAAATGTAGTTTTGACCAAATGCGTTTTTCTTCATGCCTACTTTTCACATTATACAATTTCTACTCGCTTCTATAAAATGTCTCAAGTGTTTTAAATTCCTTGTCTCAGTACTTGTTGCTGATCAGTGGCGGTCGGTTGTATTCGACAGCAACATAAAGAGGAGCTTACGAGCAGAAGTAGTGGACAAACGAACTTCAGATTAATGACCATGAACAAAGGCATCTTCTGTTTCCACATTACACTGACAATCGTCTGAAGCCTCTCTGTACCTGAAAAAAAACAAGTTGCCAATCAAACAATCAATAGACAAGATTACATGCCAGTGGGGATTCCCCGCAGATTCTACCGTCAGTGAACAATGATTTTCATAAAAACCTAAAGTTGTCGCCACACAAGATCAATTTGACACTGAACAGCTTATTTGTACCCTTATTAACGCTGACGCATTTAATAACGTAGTATTCCTTATCAGAAGAAGTGTCCATTGTCTTTCATCTTCTTCAAGTGATTTTTGTAATACTTTCAGTGTTATTTGATGTTTTGGAAACATTGCAACAGGAACCAGACGATGAGTTATTGGTAGACGACTACTGTCAAGTCTAGAAAGTCTTATGTCTTAAAGAGGTGAAAAATATGTTTTTTATACTTCAGCTCTGCCATCGTGGATCTAAACTCTGAATACCGTTTTTGGTAGTAGTTTAATTAAAGTTTACATTAAGCTCAGCACGTCAAAGCTTACTACAGAACCACCCATCTACAATCAATTCCAGCACGTAATTAAAGATTGCACTAAGTTCAACACGTCAATGTTTACCATAAAGCCATCCAACTACAATGAATTTCAACATTTAATTAAAGATTGCACTAAACCCAACACGTCAATGTTTACCATAGAACCACCCAACTACAATTAATTCCAACATTTAATTAAAGATTACACTAAGCTCAATTAAAGTCAAATTACAGAACCAGCTCAGCACGTCAAAGCTTACTACAGAACCACTCAACTACAATCAATGCCAGCACGTAATTAAAGATTGCACTAAGTTCTGCACGTCAATGTTTACCATAAAACCATCCAACTGCAATGCATTCCAGCATTTAATTAAAGATTGCACTAAACCCAACACGTCAATGTTTACCATAGAACCACCCAACTACAATGCATTCCAGCATTTAATTAAAGATTGCACTAAACCCAACACGTCAATGTTTACCATAGAACCACCGAACTACAATGCATTCCAGCATTAAATTAAAGATTACAATAAGCTCAGTAGGTCAATGCTTACCATAGAACCACCCAACTACAATGCATTCCAGCATTTAATTAAAGATTGCACTAAACCCAACACGTCAATGTTTACCATAGAACCACCCAACTACAATTAATTCCAACATTTAATTCAAGATTACACTAAGCTCAGCACGTCAAAGCTTACTACAGAACCACTCAACTACAATCAATGCCAGCACGTAATTAAAGATTGCACTAAGTTCTGCACGTCAATGTTTACCATAAAACCATCCAACTGCAATGCATTCCAGCATTTAATTAAAGATTGCACTAAACCCTACACGTCAATGTTTACCATAGAACCACCCAACTACAATGCATTCCAGCATTTAATTAAAGATTGCACTAAACCCAACACGTCAATGTTTACCATAGAACCACCGAACTACAATGCATTCCAGCATTAAATTAAAGATTACAATAAGCTCAATAGGTCAATGTTTACCATAGAACCACCCAACTACAATGCATTCCAGCATTTAATTAAAGATTGCACTAAACCCAACACGTCAATGTTTACCATAGAACCACCGAACTACAATGCATTCCAGCATTAAATTAAAGATTACAATGAGCTCAGTAGGTCAATGTTTACCATAGAACCACCGAACTACAATGCATTCCAGCATTAAATCAAAGATTACAATAAGCTCAGTAGGTCAATGTTTACCATAGAACCACCCAACTACAATGCATTCCAGCATTTAATTAAAGATTGCACTAAACCCAACACGTCAATGTTTACCATAGAACCACCGAACTACAATGCATTCCAGCATTTAATTAAAGATTACACTAACCACAGGATGCCAATGCTTACTATAGAACCACCCAACTTCAATGCATTCCAACATTTAAATAAAGATTGCACTAAACCCAACACGTCAATGTTTACCATAGAACCATCCAACTACAATGCATTCTTCAGCATTTAATTAAAGATTACACTAAACCCAACACGTCAATGTTTACCATAGAACCACCCGACCGCAATGGATATTCCAGCATTTAATTAAAGATTACACTAAGCTCAACACGCCAATGTTTACCATAGAACCACCGAACTACAATGCATTCCAGCATTAAATTAAAGATTACAATAAGCTCAGTAGGTCAATGTTTACCATAGAACCACCGAACTACAATGCATTCCAGCATTTAATTAAAGATTGCACTAAACCCAACACGTCAATGTTTACCATAGAACCACCCAACTACAATTAATTCCAACATTTAATTCAAGATTACACTAAGCTCAGCACGTCAAAGCTTACTACAGAACCACTCAACTACAATCAATGCCAGCACGTAATTAAAGATTGCACTAAGTTCTGCACGTCAATGTTTACCATAAAACCATCCAACTGCAATGCATTCCAGCATTTAATTAAAGATTGCACTAAACCCAACACGTCAATGTTTACCATAGAACCACCCAACTACAATGCATTCCAGCATTTAAATAAAGATTGCACTAAACCCAACACGTCAATGTTTACCATAGAACCACCGAACTACAATGCATTCCAGCATTAAATTAAAGATTACAATAAGCTCAATAGGTCAATGTTTACCATAGAACCACCCAACTACAATGCATTCCAGCATTTAATTAAAGATTGCACTAAACCCAACACGTCAATGTTTACCATAGAACCACCGAACTACAATGCATTCCAGCATTAAATTAAAGATTACAATAAGCTCAGTAGGTCAATGTTTACCATAGAACCACCGAACTACAATGCATTCCAGCATTAAATTAAAGATTACAATAAGCTCAGTAGGTCAATGTTTACCATAGAACCACCCAACTACAATGCATTCCAGCATTTAATTAAAGATTGCACTAAACCCAACACGTCAATGTTTACCATAGAACCACCGAACTACAATGCATTCCAGCATTTAATTAAAGATTACACTAACCACAGGATGCCAATGCTTACTATAGAACCACCCAACTTCAATGCATTCCAACATTTAAATAAAGATTGCACTAAACCCAACACGTCAATGTTTACCATAGAACCATCCAACTACAATGCATTCTTCAGCATTTAATTAAAGATTACACTAAACCCAACACGTCAATGTTTACCATAGAACCACCCGACCACAATGGATATTCCAGCATTTAATTAAAGATTACACTAAGCTCAACACGCCAATGTTTACCATACAACCACCCGACCACAATGGATATCCCAGCATTTAATTAAAGATTACACTAAGCTCAACACGCCAATGTTTACCATACAACCACCCGACCACAATGGATATTCCAGCATTTAATTAAAGATTACAATAAGCTCAGTACGTCAATGTTTACCATACAACCACCCGACCACAATGGATATTCCAGCATTTAATTAAAGATTACACTAAGCTCAACACGCCAATGTTTACCATACAACCACCCGACCACAATGGATATTCCAGCATTTAATTAAAGATTACAATAAGCTCAGTACGTCAATGCTTACCATAGAACCACTAAACTACAGTGCATTCCAGCATTTAATTAAAGATTACACTAAGCTCAACACGCCAATGCTTACCATAGAACCACCCAACAACAATGCATTCCAGCATTTAATTAAAGATTACACTAAGCTCAACACGCCAATGTTTAACATACAACCACCCGACCACAATGGATATTCCAGCATTTAATTAAAGATTACACTAAGCTCAACACGCCAATGTTTACCATACAACCACCCGACCACAATGGATATTCCAGCATTTAATTAAAGATTACAATAAGCTCAGTACGTCAATGCTTACCATAGAACCACTAAACTACAGTGCATTCCAGCATTTAATTAAAGATTACACTAAGCTCAACACGCCAATGCTTACCATAGAACCACCCAACAACAATGCATTCCAGCATTTAATTAAAGATTACAATAAGCTCAGTAGGTCAATGCTTACCATAGAACCACCCAACAACGATGCATTCCAGCATTGCAATCAAGGCCGTGGAGGGAAAGTAGGCATACCAGTCAACCAGTGTCACCACATATATTCCACCCTTAAATGTGCATAGGTTAAAGTCAGTATCATCACATGATACAAATATACGTTGCACAACATCGGATCTACACAAAAATCGCAATTGAACGGTATATATAGTTACAACCAATGTTCTCTATTTTTGTAATGAACTTTTTAATAGGCAAAACCTAGCTTAAAGATAAAAATGTGTATTGGTTTTACCTGTGATACAAATATGAGAGCAAAAAGAAAAGTGCTAAGAAGAACTGCACATGTGAAGAATAGGCGCTTCTTAAACCATTGGGTAAACAAGTCTTCTAAGGCTGCCGCGATGCCTTCAGTTCCTGGTACCTGTGGAAATAGATCTTGTGTGAGATTAGTTTGTGATGGTTACTGATGGTAGTGTATCTTTGGACACGACATAGAGTTGTCTTACGCCCCTCCAAACTCGCTTGTTAATATGCCAATGACTGAAGAATATACAATCTGAGAAAACTGTGAAAAAATGTTGGTTAACGCTTCTCTCTGTCATATTCCAGCAGTATGACGACTATCTCTCTACTGGGACTGACTGGTCAGACTGGTTTAATGCATATCCTCGTTTCCCAATTGCTTAGATTTATGTTCGTTATGTCAGTCTGATCCAGACTCGCTTATTGTACAGATTGTTGTTATAGAGCTGGAAGATTGCGGAGTTAAACAACAACCACACAACTGATTGCGTCCCAACCAAACAATCCAGTGATTTCGATCGAGCAAATCGATGCACGCAATCTACTTACTCGCTCCCGTTAGTGACCACCTTACGACAAGCATTGGTTTGAAAATTATAATCCTATCTAAACGTGCAGCAGACATAACTAACCCGTGGAAACGAAATAATTGCAAGAGGATTTTGTTCCTACATATATGCAACAAATCCACTGAAAAAAACTTGGAAAAAACAATTTCAATTTAAAAGTTACTCACTCATACTCATTCAATATATATCCATATGTTTGTATGACTATTTTGACCCTTCGGGCGCACCATGCATTATGTTAAGATATGCACGTGCTACGATCACGTGCAATACGTGGACCCGTCATGAAGCAAATATCAAGTTTGAGGAAAAAAACTTTCTGCTCAATAACACATGGAAAATCTCATTTAAATGTTGATAGGCAAATGTGGGGTCAACAGACAACTCCTGAAAAGCAGACATTTCAATGAGGGCTACCACAAAAGATGTTGGTTACACTTATTCACACTTGTGTTGAAGGAAACTGATGATTATTGGTGAAAGATTATCTGGTTTAACACGTCATGGTTTAGTTCGGTAACTAGGAGCTTTGCAACAAATTTGGACCTATGCTCCAAAACTGAAATATCAAAATGACTTTTTGTCTTAATTTGTACAACTAACATTGTTATCTAACTCACCATAGTGTCTATTCCCAACATCATCAGTGTGGCAAACGTCAAGACCGACCACGATTGGGGAAAAGGGAGAGAAGCCAGCATCTCTGGGTAAACGATGAAGGCAAGGTTGTAACCTGAAACACATGTTTTCATGAAGATGAGTGTGTTCTCACAATCATTAAGTGAAGGATGAGCCATGGGTATTTGTCAGTAACCATGTTGGCCCCTGATTCATAGTTACATATCGATTCGTCAAGGGTAAGGACATTTGAACCAACCCGTGAGGCTACTGGTGGGAAATGGTCTTCAGCAACCCATGCTTTTCATAAGAGGCAACCAACTGGATCTCGATCTGCTGTTCACGGGTACACACCAAGATGAAATGGAAAATCCCCAATTTTCCAGCCTGGTGTTGTGTGTTTCATATGATAATTCAAACAATAAAACGCACATCAACAGTTGAAGTCAAACTTGAAGTAGGAAAAGATAAAATTGTAAAATAATCCCAAATAGCAACCGATATGACATTAGTCATTGCTCAATACATGTCTCAAGTTTGGATGGAAAATGTTAAATAGGTTAAGCTCTGTTCCAGAAACAACACCTGTATCCGTTTTAAAAAAATCTTACTGGAAAGAAGGCGGGATGAAAGCAAATGACATTATGCTAACTGAGAAAATTGTCAGATTGTTATAGTGTACTTGCAGTAGCAGACAGAACACCACCGCATTACCTTGACTAGTAATAAGCCCCAATTGTTCCCGCCTTGAGCAATTTTGGGGCGTCACAGTAGATGCATCCTGATGGTGAAGGTAACCAAAATGACCGCAAGAGGGATGCTCAGGAGCACCAGAAATGTAAACAATATTTCTAAACGCTCCTATTCACCTAGAACATCAAGTGGACACGTGGAACTATGTATTTATCGGTTACCTACCTGATGATTCTAAAGCATCCACGCTAACTCCACGCATGTAGGCAATGTGGCCGACGATTGTGAAGAAAGCAAATCCAGTTATAACAGCTGAGAGGGAATCAACCAAGCAAAGCATTACTGCATTTCTGAAATGTTCAACCCTTTAAGTCAGGATGTACACCAGTAGAGAAGATGGTTGGTTGGTGTATTCCCAAATGTGCACAGTGGCACAGAAAGGAAGGTTAGTGGCACAGCTGACTTATAATCATATTGACATGTATTGGATACATATCTTGCGCTAATTAACGTTCGATTTTACGATACTTGTACAGTACTCCACTGTCTCGTTTAATTATTTTGTAACATAATCAGGGTAATTTCTGGATTAGAACACGCGATTATAGGTTTCTGCCACGTCGAAAGGATGCAGAAATGTAATTTAATTAGCATAGAAGGGAGTAAGAACAACTAATAACACGGGTGATGAAGCCAATAAACAGGAGGGAGTAAGTCATAAACAGATAGAAGCGATAAAACTCTTTCCACAATCGTAAGAAATCTCTGCTGAAAGCAACAAGAAGATCGGGTGCTATTGATAGAGCGTATAGCTTGATTAACGCTTTGTAGACCGATGTTATGTAGTACCCTTGGTCTCTATTAATCAAAGGATGCATGGTTTGTGGTGACTAATTTCGATGGCTTACAATTTCGATTTGTTTGGCTGTTTGGTGTTCTTACTCCCCCTACTGGCCTCGTCCAAATATGTGTCACTTGTTATCAACTACATGCTATTGTTAATGTTAATCTCATCACTTGGTTTTAGTCACTATAGCTTGATAATAGTGTAAGAATCTACACTGAAAGGTCGCTCTATGACAATAAATAAGAAGTTGTCATCCATAATGATGTATGTTTTCATTATTCACCAAAGTAGTAAACGACAATCACTTAAAAGTCACATGCAACCAAAAAATCAAACATAATTAAAACACAATTATCACTTTTTCATGACATATAATATGCATTGCTGATTATGAAAAAACAAATAAACAAAATTATAAGCGTATAATCGCAAATCAAAAGTGCAATATTTTGTACTTGGGTTTATCTCCCTCGAAACGAAGCACCCGGGACACCGAACCCAGTCAGAGCGTGTGTATATATAGAGATGTTTTGTTTTGTAAATACATGCTAATTTTTTGTGTATAACATTTTGCAATCAACAGACATCATAACATGTCATGTGTTCAAGTATCACACCTGCCTGTCTGTGTAATTACATAATGTGACAGAGACCGAACTCGGGCCATAAATCAATGCGTTTTGTTTATGGTGTATAGCCTGATTGGTGTTAAGTTCAAATTGCATGTGGTCAGTGATCGCAGTTGTGTATTGAATATTGTCATTAGCAGACAGGCAAGGCAGACACACAGGTGTCAATAAAACAAGACATTGAGTTTTGTCTGTGACAGCGACATATCTATATCACAGTTAGAAATTGTGTCAACGCTAAATAATGACATTGCTTTTAAGTATCGAACTGAGAAAGTGACTCGGTAAGAAGAACGTGTGGTGAAATAGACAAATGAAATTATATAAACAGTTTATTTACTGTCATAACATATAGAAAGCTCGCGCCTGTGAGATATCAACAAAACATTAGAAAAATAGCTCACACCAAAGCCTACACCGAGTATTCACCAGACAGCCCGCTTCCAAGTTGCGCGAACCTATTTCACTGCGCACGTGCTATGAGCGCAGCCCAGCTGCTGAAACCCGTATTCCCCAGAAAAGTCTGGGGAAAATTAGTGAAACGTTTGATCTCCGATTTCGCGCGTTTTTTTCATCCCGTTATTTTTCAACTTTATAAGTTGAATTTGCATTTTTGACGAAAGGTATCAGAATCTGCAAAGTTGTGTTTTACGTTGCATGTGACCTTTAAAGCTTCCGTTTCAGATTAAGCTAACACAACATGATATTACACATGAACGAACTGTAATGATTACGTTAAAGATGGCACTTTTACCATAATATATTATATATTAATAACATCCTGAGCCAACATAAATTAATCATACTTAAGGCAGTTGTTGTCCATTCTGTTGCGACCAGACATGGTAATAATACATCCATTGGCAATACCCAGTGAATGCAGTGCATAGCTACAGGCTTGGATCCAAACCTACAAGCAAACAGAGTGAGTTTTGAACAATAGTTACATCGGGAGTATGTCAGCCATATCATGTCTACAAGTTATAATTATACATTCATGATGCATTAAGGTAGAATATTTAACCTGTTCACAAAGGACAGCAAAACCAATTCGATTATCACATATATAAATGAAAAATAGCATTTTATGTTAGATGACAATGCAATGTACAAAGGACTGTTGACAACCAACCAGAAGAATCCGATATGAATGTTTGTATTGGTGTGATGTTGGCATAACTTGTAAGTGATTAATGACATGTTAAAATGCGTATATTTATATTATTATTGTTATTGATATTAATCATTTATAAATATATCTTTGTATTTACAATGCACGGGTCACCGTGTTTGGCAGATTGACTCATTTGAGTTTCTTGACCCGTCCTTCCCCTCAACGAAGCACATGTTATACATCTGGCCCCGATTTCTCGAAACAAACTTAAGTCTGAGTTTTGACTTAGTTAAAGTTTTGACTCAAATTTGAGAAAATGCATTTCTCAGAATGAACTGAAATCGATATTAAACTCAAACATGGTAGACAATTTGAGTTTGGTAGATAGATTACTTAAGTTGCTTGGGCTTTTTTATTTATAAAATGCAGTTGAGTTAAGAATTCAGCTGTTTCAAAATGTCAAGCTCAGTTTGAAATTTGAGTACAAACTTAAGTTTGTTTCGAGAAATCGAGGCCCGGTCTCAGATTAGACAAGCGACAGGGAACCCGCTGAAATAATGCCGATGCGAATTTAATGTTTTAGTCACTCCTTCGTCAAATAAGAAGCCGATATAACCAGTCAAGTGAAGAGGAGTTCCCACTCAACATGTGAATGAGCCAGTGGTTATGTGTAATTGCCTTTGAAATTGGGCTTTAATAGTCATTTCTGTGTGAATTGCCGTGGCTGTTGGGTCTCTCTCTTCTGTACCATCTACTGGCCTGGGCGACATCTATGACAGAATGTTGAAATCTGATCAATTCTCGTGACCTCTGCACGTTGTATCCTGCTGCGAAGCAAATAGCCGCACGTTATCGAAATGCTCGCGCCGCAGCATCTGTTTTCTGTCAATTTTCATTACGGCCACAACTTAGACTCCACGTAGCTTTGAGGACACCTTCATCTAATTCATCGGTCAAATCAATATGTGATTGCTGGAGTATTGGGGTTTGGTTTTTTTGAAAATTAAAAATAACCTGAATTTACATCTTGACAATATATATTTAATCTAAATTCATCAGTCAGTTTAAATTGTTAACATGTTACAGTACTGAACTCATAACAGCAGTGCAAAAGAATAACTTATATTAATACTCAGAAGTCCGTCTGGTGTAAAGGGGAAAATAGTTGTGAAAGTTATATGAGTGGATCGCCGAAAATCAGTGATGACACCAGGCGTTCCCGACAAGGGTAAGCATGTCCTGCCCTACAGATAGCACCGGTCATTTACACAATTTGTATTTCGCATTGACGCCGTGTGCTCTTAGCGTGCGACGGCGGACTTTAAACAAACCGGGCAACCAAGTGGTCGCGGGACCGGAAAGTCCAGTCAGAAAATTTTGAATTTCGACTGTTGCGTGGAATTACAGAGATTTCAGTGCTTACAAGTACAGAAATATATTTGGGAGTTGTTTCTTTTACAACACACTGCGTGTCAGTGTTAATGTCACTGCATTACTTGGTTATCAAATCTGCATGTGTTTGGTACGAAGAGGCAGGATGCGCTCACCTTCTTGTGGCCAGTTAATATCATGGATTAAAAACATGCTATTTATTACGTCTGAATCACACAATCAATCGTATTGCAGATATTCCTTATAAATATGGAAAGTGTTTTCGCGTTCCTCTATGTATTTACATTTGTTGTTTCAAGAGACAAATTGTATCATGTAATTATAAACAAATTGTACTTGGCCGACGTTAGCAAACTCACTTTGGGTTCCATGAGCCGTTCAAACTTTGGATAAATGTAAAAGTATATTCCATCAGCTGATCCAGGAAGTTGGCAACCACGGATGAGGAACACTGTGATGAGGATGGTTGGGAGAGCCACAGTGATGTAGACAAGCTGGTGCAAGAATATACATATTCATACAATATTAGATCATATGCATAATCTACTTTCTTTTTTATGGGGAAAAAGCCGGTCGATTGGGTTAGTGGTTCAAGCGTTCGATCATCACGTCGAAGTTATTGGTTCGAATACTCACATGGGTACAATGTGAGAGTCCCAGTTCTGGTGTCACACGCCGTGACATTGCTGCAATATTGCTAAAAGAGGCGTAAATTCACTCACTCACTTTTATTGGGAACAATGTAACCACTACCATTTATGCATGACATTGGAACTTGGATGTATTTTGTATTTTAGATATTTGTTGTAGTTTAGTTAACGTTTAGAAAATAACTTTATGCTATTTTGCAATTCTGGATATTAACAGAACAGTGTGTTTTTAATTTCATTATAGACTGGCTTATAAGAATGTGTGACCCAGTTGTCGACACACAATTGTAATGTCGAGGGTATTGCTAGCTTCCTTACTTTCCCTGAAACCTTTATTCCTTTGAAAATCCACAGAAATATGATCATATGTGTGATCACCAAGCATCCAAAAAGATGCCATGTGATACCACCGAGGTTCATCAGACCGTCCGTCATTTCCAGCACCTTGTTTCTTAAATAAAAAGGATAGTCATGTACAAAGAATATCGATGATGAAATTTCGATACATAATACAACATACAATAACAGGTGCATGTAAGGAAGTTTCAATAAAGTATTTAACTCGTAACAATCTCCCTCTGGAAACCCAAAAGCCGAGAAACTCTCCGTACTGTTTCTGACAAAAGATTTGACAAAATCCAACATGCAATTATCATTAATATATGCTAAGGATGAGAAAATGGGGAAAAAAAATGCATTTTCAAAAACTCGAAATTTAAACTACCTCGCACATCGGCGAAGAGTGACCCATGGGCGAGAATGTTTACCTTTGCTCAAAATTCATGTTTTAGAGCTTGTAAAGGAATGAGATTATGTTCATAAGTATCGTGACACAAAATGCGGATAATTTAGAACTTTATTATAATATCTCATGAGCAAGAATATCAGTCTTTCACTTTTTTGAACTGTAATACTTATCAAGGGGTAAGCAAAGGGACGACGGTTTGTATATTCATAATCTTATTACTTTGGAAAGGTGGAAACCTTACTTCCAGAACTCTTCAGCAGCAGTGACCCCGGTTATGTTGGGAGTGTTTCCTATCTCACTTCCATTATACGGAATACTGACATTTGTAAAAGTTCTAAAATTCGTGCTGGATATACATGTAGGTGAGTTCCAAGTGTTGTTACAGTTGTCCCAAGGAAGTACTTCAGAGAAGGAATAGAATAGGTAATACATGAACCAAGAAAATGTGACATTATAGTAGCTATGGAAAAACCAGGCACATATGACAGCTCCCAGGCCCAGACCTGTAACAGAAAATAAACATAAGTGAGATCATTATGAAATTGGGGAATTAGTGTACAGCAGTAGGTGAGGTCTCGTGATGTTTCACATGATCTTACTCTGTCACTTTCAGCTTGAATTTACCTTTCCACGTGCTCAAACTGAAACATGAATCTTCTTATGAACATTTCACGATATTTGTAACTTTCGAGTACAGTTGCTATGATGCTAACGTGTACATTAGTCTCTGTTAAGGTTGGTTGGGTTGTAAATGAATGAATAGAAGTGCCGTCATAACTCCTTAGGAAATCAAATAACGAGACTGATTATTCAGGTAATCATAGTATTACAGCTGAGAGCTCACCATGTCTCTCGGAGATATCACTGACCCATCTCCCTCCTAATGGGTAGTAATTCTTAAGACAATATAAAGTATACATGTACTCATTATGTAAGTACTATAGATTCAGGATTCGATACGTACCTTTGAAGGAAGGACACAAGTTCCAGACGTTAACGGGTCCACTCTGAGAGTACTGGCCTATTGTCATTTCCACGAAAGTGCATGGGATGGCTCCGATTATTGTGAAGAATATGAACAGTATCAAAAATGCCCCTTTGTAAAAAATAAACATATGTCAGTAATCTGAAACGACTCAATTGACATACTTATATTTCTCGACATGATGTGAGCATTGTTTCAACAAATGCTCAGATGCGACATTTCAGTTTTGACAAATCATCCTTCACACATTTACAATATACACTAATGCCACTGATCACAATTCACGTGTGAATAGTAGAATATTATCAGCAATTACTGACATTTAAAAGAACACAATATACAATAATTGCACTGATCCAAATTCATATGTGAATAGTTGAATATTAACAGTAATTACTGACATTTAAAAGAACACGTAGCAAGTTGGAGCCAGACACAACCCACCTCCACCATTGCCCATACAGTAGAACGGAAACTTGATGAATGTTCCAGATCCCACCCCGTACCCAAGTAGGGTGACGAAGAAGTCGAACTGATGGCTCCAGTGTTCACGCGGCATGGCTCGTTTCTACAACTGATAAGAACACATTCACGCCACTAACAGGGAGTGAAAGGTATTAGTAAGTATTCCTGCCATATCATGACGAAAGACAAATATACAGTTCAACAGTTCTAAAATGTCAACAAAACCCGGGTATCGTGTATTAGCACAATTTCTCTACCTATGTAATCGAAATGGTCCTACTGATGTCATCACTTGCCACCTTTGTAGGAAAACAATTGCGTTTAAACTTTGGATATAATATGCACCTCCCTGCCAGCCCGGAAACTGTCCAATGTGAAATATCTAGTGATACAGTTCGGTGGGCACTGGTAGAAAATCACTAATGGGGCCTTAACAAATACTGGTTTTCTATTACTCTTAAGTTTGGCAATGTGCATGTTCGCTATGAAATGTCATCTAAAGGAATGAAAGTCACTCTAGTTACTGTAATACTTTGTTATTTGGTACTAAATAAAGTTTAGAAGTGACAACATCCATTCATCAATACTGACACTATAACTTTGTTGTTGTTTTAGGGGTCATTTCGAACTTCAGTAAGCATAATCCATTGTTTCTAAGAATGTATTATCCTTTTTGCCTGACATAAATGTATCTGAAGTCCTTTAAATGTTAAAATCTGGTAGTTTTAAACTCAGACTGATACACTCAAACAAAAGTAGCATTCCTCCATCACCACTTTCTCATTCTTATAATTATCAGCATTATAATACACTATTGCATGTAGAAGGCTATCAGGTTCTCTCTGTCTGTGCGTGTACTGTAGATCATGTACTTGAAAATTGTAGATGTAGTAACTTTGGTTTGTATGTTGAAACTGAAACATATACAAGTACACCTATGTCCCTTCTCTGTTACATGGTAAAACAGTTATTGAAAATGAAATGAATGCCGCTGGAAATGATTAAATTAGGTAAAAATCTAAGAAGGAATCAGTTTTTAACAAATTGAATAAAATGCATGTGCATCATTGCTTGCACAAACAGATATATGTACAAAAGAAGAACTCAGAAGCTTACCGTGAAACATTCTATTTTCTACAGTATGGGCATTTTACATTCTTTTCAATCTACAGTTACATCCCTTGTGCGGCAAGTTGTGCCTACACTTTCATTTTATGTTCGTATTAATACGTACAATGCTTATTTTGTGGGCTGGTGGTCCAATATACAGAAATGAACTTCTTGTTTGTCTGTTTACCAGCGTGCACCTCAACATTGTCATTTAAAGGAACATGAGCCTTATCAATGTCTACATGTACATTTCTGGACAGACGAAGTAAATTAGATGCAATAAAGGTTACCGTGCAAAATTGATATACATTCTTCAAAAAAAGAAACGCATAGGTGATTTTGAGAATATTAGACTCATGTAGCTGCTTCAAAACCAATTCAAATATATTCTTTTTTTCCAAAACGCCATCTTTGTGTGATTGTAAATAGCCTCAGCGCCAAAACGCGGCAATTTTAACCTTTTCCCTTGTTTTAGAAGCGTTTCAAGAAATATTCGCCAAAACGTCACCACGAAAACATGCACAGCACAATGCACGAGCACGTAAGCGGACAAAACATGCGGTATCGTTCACTATAAAAAGGCAAACGTTGGGTTTAATTTTGTAATTCGTTTTTATCTATTTTGAATATTCATAGATATTTTTCAAGGTATGCAATTCCAGTTAATGAGTATGCTAGTTGTCAATACTTTCATCAAATCTCTAATCACGACATCTACATGCATTAAATAGCATGACTATTGACAATTCGTTCCTGAGGTTATGTTATAATTAAAAGTGCATATTTTTATTACTGAAGTTGGTTATTTATCAAGTCATTCGTTCCTTCATTAATATGGACAAGTTTAATGAATAAAATGGGAAAAAAAGTAGAAATATGAAAATAATGCATTAAATCATATTAATGAATAATTCATAATAAACAGTAAGTCCCTTGTTTTTAATATGGAACTGGCTGTGTGATAAGCCAACGTATCGTTGATTGTGACAAGCCTACTGATGCTTCACGCTCAAGTTATTCAGTGTATATATTCATTCATATATATTTATTTATTGTAGCGTATTATTTAAATGTATGAAATGTTATTGTATATTTTCTTGGAATCAATATTGAAGTAAGCGCTGTCACGGTGAATTGCATATTACTGTGAAATGGCAGCACATCATTGTGGTGTTTCAAGAACGAGCTGTGGAACTTGTGGAGACGTCGAGAACGTAATTAGTCTCCGAAACCGATAATAAAGTCTGGAACAGATAACGCAGGGACTGGGTCAACGAAGTCAGCAAACCTGACCCATTAGTCGCGTTCTTACGACAAGCTTGTGTTGCTGAAGACCATTTCTGATCCGGTTATCCACGGGCTGGAATACAATGATTAAGTCATACAAGTCACCGATCCTTCTTCTATTGCTTTCACAATTGATATTATGATAAATGCTCTTCAAAAACGAAACGCTTAGATGATTTTGAGTATAATGGACTCATGCAGCTACGACAAAACGTCATATTTGTGTGATTATAAACAGCTTCGGTGCCAAAACACGGCAGTTTGTACTTTTTTCCTTTCTTGTCGAAGCGCTTGAAGAAATATTCGCCAAAAACGTCACCAAGAAAATATGCAAAGCAAAATGCTCGTGCAAGTAAGCGGAAAAGCATATTACGGTAACGATCACTACAAAAGGCAAACGTTGTGTTTAATTTCTGATATTCGTTTTTGCCTGGAAAAGAGGAGATCATCACGCCACGACTGACTGCCGCCTATCGAAAGATCGCCATATGCTGAATTGAAGAGTCGCAGTCTGCAGTTGCCAAACATTTCAACGTTCATCAGAGCACCATATATCGCATTTGGGATCGTTTCCTTCTGACCAATTATAATAAATAATAATAGGGAATTTATATAGCACATTAATCCATGCTCAATGCATGCTCTAAGCGCATATATGTGTGGGTATTGAGAGTCATTTTAGAAAGGCAGTTTTGAATAAGTAGGTTTTTAGCTTAGATTGGGAGGAGGCAAGAGTTGAAGACTATGAGATTGAGTGGGAGATTGTTGCATTGAAAGCAAAGGAACGTTGTCCATAGTTCACAGATTTCACAGATTGAACTGGCAACAGGAGCTTGATTTCTGACCGCAGTTATCGAGCTGGTTTGTACTCTGTGATCAAATCACACAGATAATGTGGAGCACTTTCAGACAGACATCGATACACATGACACGAGATCTTACAGCTGATTCTCTGTCGGATGGGCAGCCAGTGTAGGTCATGTAAAATTGGGGTGATGTGGTCGTACTTACTGCACCTTGAGGCTATCCGAGCAGCTATATTCTGGATGTGCTGTTCTGAGGCTGTTACAATAAACACTCCTAGATGTTACCAGGGTTAGTATCAGGATGATCGCCCGACAAGCGGCCGTTCAAGAGTTACTACCCAAGCCTAGGGCCGCTACATCCAGATTGTTCCCTTGCGTCGTCTGCACAACGCATCTCAGGTTTGAGAAGAAATTCTGTCAGGAATCGATTGCGTGAAGAGGAGATTCGACCAAGAAGGCCCTCTGTTGAGAGACTTACTTTGGCGCAATCGCTTGCGGTGGTGTCGTAGAGCCCAAAACTAGAACCTTAGAAACTGGAGGAGAGTCAGGTTCAGTGATGTATCACGATTTCTTCTTCACGGGCGAGATGGAAGACAACGTGTTTACTGTCGGATAAATGAACGTTTTGCTAATTGCATTCGAAAGGTGTCGGGTAAGATATCCAGCTCACAATCATCTGAGTTAGTGGTGGCTCAGGGGAAGTTGACAGCAAATCGATACACCAAGGAAGTCCTTGTACGTCACATGCTACTGATTATGGACCGACAGAGGCAGTTGTTCTAGCTTGACAACGGTACTTCACATACGGCACGCGTCACGTTCCGCTATCAATTCTAACGTCAATGTCTTGCCGTGGCCTTTCCGATCACCAGACGTAAACCAGATAGAACATCTATTTGATGAACTCGGTGGACGTGTACGTGAACGTCAAAACACACCTTAGAGACTTCCACAACTGACTATTGCATTGCAGGAAGAGTGGGAAAGAATTCCACAAAAGACGTTCCTTCTCCAGTCTGTACCGAGACGTTGCCGAGCAGTAATTGCCCCCAATGTGGGCCATACAAAATACGGACTTCAAGGCCATCTTGTGGACTCAAGTAAACAAAAACGCGAACTCTTTGTCTATTGAATTTCTATTAAATATAATATCATATTATGGCTGGGAACCTGTATGAAAATTGTTTTAAATTAGGAACATTAAAATATGTTTCACGTATCAATGCAGTATCCACACAATCTAATATACTGAGTCAAAAAGAAACTTCACATTCTTTCTTCAGGGTACTATAAAAGGACAAGAGATGGTAAGATGGTTAAATTGTTATTATTTCATTGCTGAGATGTACTCGATACACTGTGATGTACTCGATACACTGACAGTGCCATAATCAGTTCCATTAGGCTACACCGCCGTTCCAAAACATGGGTATACAGAATGTCAAGTCACAAGAATAAAAATGCGAAATTTCGCAGTTCAATATCGTGTATGGCCGCCCCGCGCATTCACCACTGCCAAACACCGTCTCCTCATCGACTGCCTGATGTTTGTGAACACGTGGTTGGGGATTCTGCGCCATTGCTCTTGCAAGGCAGCGCCAAGTTCCTGCAAATTCTGAGGTTGGTTCCTTAGACCACGAAGCCTTCTCCCAAGTGCATCTCAAACGTGCTCTATTGGATTAAGGTCAGGGGACCTCGATGGCCAGTCCATGACGTTGATTCCAGCGTTTTGAAGGAAATTTCGTGTCAACATCGCGGTATGCGGCCAAGCATTATCGTGCTGGAACTGTAGACCTGGGCCATGAGCCGCCATGAAAGGAACGTAAGAAACCTTGGTGGGTATTACTGTTTTTGTTGCAAGAGCAGCCTTTACTGTTGCATCAGCACTACTGTTTCCTGGTATAAT